AGTCTTGTATTGTTATAATGTACAGCTATAAAGAAAGCTAACCTATATATATATATATATATATATATATATATATATATATATATATATATATATATCATATATATATGCCACAACAGATACATTATTTGATCTTCAAAATTTCCCAATTCATTTTGGAGTTTTCTAATTGTGAATATGGTACTGTGTTCAGATAGTTACGTATCTTCCACTTTGGCACAGGATTGATGTTTTGTGTTAAACCCAGGTGAAGAGAAACGGAAGGGAAACCGTTAAATTCATAATCAATACTGTCTTTACTGTGGTATTCCATCAACTGGTACTTGTCAGGGTAATGTGTTTTTGTCTGTTTTAACGCCGCACTCAGTAATGTTCCAGCTTGATGACGGCAGTCTGTAAATAGTCAAGTCTGGACCATACAGTCACGTGACTGACATTATGAGTATCTACGCAACTGAGATACAAATGACATGCATCAACCAAGTCAGCAAGGCTGACCATCCAATCCCCTCAGTCGCCTGTAACGACAGGCTTGGGTTACCGAAAACCAATACTGATCTGGACCTTCACGAGTTCAGGATAATGTATTTAAAACCATGTCTACATGAAGCTAAAGGATTTTAATATAGTAACAGACATCTTCAATCCATTAAGATAAATCATACATAGCGGTGCCAGACGTATTATGGTGGTCAGTGGTAGAGGAAGCATCTCGTATATCAAATGGTAGACGTGTAGATTTCCGTGTCCGACACATCTGTGACCATCAACATGTTTGATGTACAGTAGAAGCTGTCTAAACCGGGACTCGTTGGGACTCAAGAAATAATCCGGTTTACACAGCGTGCCGGGTTGTACAGATAACACGGTTACCTCCGACTAGAAGTGAATAAGATTTGTCACTCTCATATACATTGTTGTATCACAATAAAACATGTCAACTCACCAGTCTCAACGCAAGGTTAATTGGTCACAATACACATCCAGCCGACTCCTTGCCACGCGCCGGATTAGACAGCGATGATTACAGTATAAACCCATATTCGGGTGGCTCATTTCATGCCGATATCCGGAACTGACAGCTGCCGGATTGAAGAGCTTTTAAATGATGATACATGCACTAGCCACGGACGGGACTGAGATTTTATGCTGGTGTAGAAAACTTGTCGGATTGGACAACTGCCGGTTTTGACAGCTTTCACTGTAATTACCTACTTTGACTGCACTATACCTTCCCATACGTGTCCATCTGAAGACATGCCGTTCCATGTTCCTGTGGCGCATGCCACAGATGGAGCAGTAATGCTTACCACCTGGTACTATCACTATTTGGAAGTGATTCATGAACACATACAAAATATACGGCACTCTGATTTCAGAGATTTTTGATTGGGTCGATTACTGAAAGTGTTTGGTTTCTTCCATTCTGTTGATAGAAACAAAAGTATGATATAGGGTCACTTCTATAATAACTTCATGAGAGTAGATCAACCCGTTTTGGTTCTACCCTTTGACGCCACAAATAGCATTATTCCAACGAGATGACAACGAGCTGTAAATACTCAATCTGGGCCACATAATCCGGTGACTGACACGTAGAACATCGATGCAACGATATCCAATCAACCATGCCTGACCTCCGATCAATTTGCCCCTCTTACAACCGGCATATATCGACGGGGACCTGTTCTAATCTGCAATTCCCAAGAGGCAGAGAAAAAGGGACCGCCTCTTAGAATAAGCTCCATGCTGCCGAGAGATCTGGCAGTTCATGAAGTACATGTCATCAACGTCCGTGCTCTCTTTCCATGCAGAACAGTAATGACAAGGGAAACATTTGATGACTTCCTGTATAACACTGGAAGATCTCTAATGTGGTCCTACAGGTGAGGTGCCACTGGGGTGTACGAGGGTTAATAGTTTCTGACACTATTACCGCCAGTGCTAGCAGCAAGGGAGTCATTTTCCTTGTTAAAACCAGACCAACGTAATTGGCCATTGGCGAAATTTAAGTGCAAGCTACATCAGTTACTCATCGGACTTGGTTCGGATTGTGCTGCCCTCCTTAGAAAATAGCTGCAAGGCTGAATTATTGGAAACTTTTTAATGAAACAGTACAGTTATTTATTTCTGGAATTATCATTGTGCTACAGGCCGTTATTTTGATAATTGAATTGCTTTATGCAAGCTGTGCCATCAGCGGGTAATTAATTATTTTTGATGAACGCAACGAAGAAGAATTAAATAAATGAAAAAGTAAGCCGAAATGGTGTATGAGAGACATCTATTGATGACAGGACGATACAAGCAGATTATGTTATGATGCATAATTATACACACTTATGCATGATACATCAGGTTTGGCACTATACAAACTGAAACTACCACCCTCATAAACTCATGTACTCATGAACATTTAATTTTTCAGTTATTGGAGATACAGAATTAAAGACGTAATTTCAAAGTAACTTTTAATCAACTTCAACTAACACGATCATATTCTAAAATGATGCAATCAGTATTTCATACAAAAACCAATAATCTAATTATTTGTATTTCCCGACATCTTCCACAGCTGCCGTGGCTATTTCGTCGGAAGCGTGATGTAAAACACGAAAAACTATCAATACGGAAAGATAGCAAACACTTGAAACCACTAACCTAAGGGTCTACTTTGACAATTATTTTATAATACGTCTTCCTCGCTCCTCTGTGATCCGTGTTTTCACATGCTACACAGTTCAAGAACTGACATTCTTCACTAAATCAAATCCCTTATGGACAGCCTCAAATTCAATATATTGATAGCGAATCTCTGAGTTCTTGCAAAACTTTACTGCTTCGTTAGTTCAACCGATGGAAAATAGCTTGTTGGGAATTTGTGCGAGATGAGCAGTTTAACTTGGTTCCCTTCAAGAGCTATCATGCCACTTCGATTGCTTGTCAGAGAAATTCGTGTTTGAAACACTCGGAGACTTTGGAGACCTTCTTGGCTACCAGAGGCAATTTCACTTTAACACGTGGATGAACAAGCTTGAGATGTGAACCCCGTTGGGTCTTACTAGATCTATTGATGCTTTTTCTGTGTTGTAAATATTCGTCTTGTGTAAATCAGATGCTAAAGGAAATATCTTGCTAATTTAATAGATCACGCCATTGCCACATAATGATGGGTTTTTCATCATTGTGATTTCAATTTTGCAACATTTATGTTTGCCTTAGTCGTATTTTGTGAGTGAATAGTTTTTTCGCGGCCTTTAGCAATATCATGTGGGACACCGAATTTGAGCTTCACATATTGTACCCATGTGAGGAATCGAATCTGGATCTTGGGTTTGACGAACGAACAGGCTTTAATAACTAAACTACCGTTCGCCGAGGTGTTTCTAACATGTACAAGAAGATGTAATAACAAACTGATACTTATCTTGATAATAAGTGTAAATTGTAAAAACCTTGAATGTCTCCTTGATCGACATTGCTACAGTCTACCGCTGACATCCTCCTAAATCACCTTTATGTCTTATCTATATTAATATGACCTAGTTTCAATAATATACACCCTTTACCTGAAATGATTCGACTGAGCAATATCGACATGGAATGAATAAATGTTAGTATTGGCAGATACAATGATTCATGTCTTATCCATCAGCATCCCTCAAGTTGTCTGATGCTAATTACATATATGGCGTTTCGTGTTTTGTAGACAAGCAACGTAATATTAAATTTCCTTGATCAACACCGACATCTTTGTGGCAACTTCGGTTAAAGTAATAGTGTTATAGTTGGTTATTGTTACAAGAAAGACGTCTCTCTTTGTAGTGATGGCGCCATCCTGAGAGTGCTTATCAAATATGAGGGTTTGATCGACCAACAATTCTCAAACGGTTCCTTATGGTAACAATGTCGCCAATACTCTCTATCATATTGCAATGAACCGTGAATGGGCAGCCTCTTGGTCGTGTTTCGAGGTCTTATGAAATTATTTTGGCAACTGAAACTCGTTAGCTGCTTTTAGTTTGTGCAACCATTAGGAGTGTTGCGACTTTTACGACAAAACTCGGGTCTTGGTGTGACACAAGTAGTGATTTTGTGCTAACTCGCTTTCATTACGCGTCTATAAAACTGTCACAAATGTCAATGTTTGCTTCTTTGTACTTGCTGTTCTAAGTATCATAATCACGAACATACTTCAAGAGGGTTCGTTTTTTATCTGGCATCGTCTTCACAGTTATTACAACACACAATATCCAATACTTCATCGTGTTGTGTCAGCGAGAATTTATAGACACGCAAAGTAGATAGAAGGGTTAGCGGTCAGAATGTGGCTACTGTCTTGCGATAGGGCAATAACAGAAAGCTCAAGGGACATCGATCGTATGTGCGTAACGTACACCAGTATCGACATGGGACTGTTACTGAGTTAAAGCCTCGAGAAAAAGCAGTTTGCGCAACATTAGTCAGTAATATGTTTCCAGGACATGTCCATTTGGGTATGATATTATTAACCACATCTATATTCTTGTCAATCATGATTCAATGTACATTTAACTTGGAAATCAAGCCCTGTATCCTTGCTCCTTCTGTTGCAGCTATTATGTACAGTGATGTACGTACACGAACAATTGTGCCGGTTTAGTTCTGCTGGGAGATAAATAACGTTTTCTAATCACTGTGACATGCCTTTAAGCAACACACTAAAACTAATGATTTAAAAAATATTTCCATGTAAAATAAATCCTATCATTCAAAAGTTGGGTGCCGTTAAAATAAATCACATTTCATCGGTAAATGTTACGTCATCTCGTATTGATTTTAATTCTAATGTTACATAAAATTGATTACAACATACTTTCTTGTACAGAATGCCTCTAAACAGAAGAACATTTGAAGAATCGTGTGTTTTAGAAATATTACATTACATTAAATCAATATTTAAGACACCTTGCTGTTGTATGGATCAATGGGAAATAACTCATTTAGTAACAAGACCCGTCTTCAGAACCAACGCTACGTCAACCCGGCATACACCTGCTCTCTAATACAACACACGCTGCCTGTAATCCACACAAGGAGGCATCGAAAGTGGTCAATACAAGAAGCCACCGACTGATGCACGTGGTCTGTCTATGACCCTGACACAGGAACAGTAACAAAACTCCTTTCACAGGGGTTGACAGGGCAGATATTTGCTGTACGTAATAAGCGAAATGACTACAATGACCGCAGGCGAGGCCCAGTAGTGCTGGGAGTTAATAATGAATTCACTGCCGGCTAAACTGTAAAGCGGCAGGATAGTGAGTGGATCACAGAGAATGTGGGAACGGATCGGTTCACGCGTCCGACTTCACGGGCTAGGATTACAGACTAATTAACGATCACTGGATTGGTCTTAGATGAAGAATGTTTTAAATACTGGAGGTAAGAGTGTTGTTAATTATTCTTAATTTTGTGTTTGTAAACTTACTGACATTCAGTGACTATAGTCTGAGTGTGTTATTGAACGAGTAAGAGTAAGTTTACTCAGTACGTGTGTTTATGATCAATTTGAGGATGTGTTTGTCTTGGTCATGTAGGTACCACGTTGCTTTACTTCACTTTCAGTACGATCATGTTCAAACTACACTTGTGCAAAGTGCTTACTTCTGAATGAAACTCTGTATTCAGACGGGACAACTATTTATCATGCTCTCTCCTGATATATTCTCTATTTGTAAAGACACGGGGCAGTACAAGTTAGTTTTGCAGCGAACATTAACGAGATTAAAAACTGTGCATCGTCATCGTACTTCAGAGTTCAGGATCGGAATTCGTTATTGTTATGAATAGATGTAGTGAGATATGATCATTTGTAACGTATAACGACAATACGAATAAGCAATCTTGAAGAGTCCTTACTGAATACTTAGTAATACTAGATTGCTTTTTACGAAAAAAGTGCGTGTCGTATTCCATTTCTTCGTGCGATCAAATCTGGTTTTAATAACATTGCTGATTTAAATGGTAAGGATATTTGAGTCGACGTAAGCGAGGTTTATAGCCCTATATGACAATTGCTGTTATTCACAGATGCGTATTTAAGGAAATTGTATTGATGTACGATGGGCAGAGCAATCAAACGTCACTTTGGCAAAGGCTTGAAAAACGTTATTTAACCAGTTTCACGTGTCTTTATTCATTGTGTTCAAGCAACCAGCAATAATGACATTTACAGTTGCGCAATTCATGAATATTTCATTTTTTTATATATAAGGACGATGTGGTATATAAACAGACAGCTCTATTTCGTCCACCGTTTCCCTGTCGTCACCGACAATCAAATGTTCACCAATATTGATATCAATCTCCACTAAACTTTCGAAATTACATAAACTGTCATAAATGTTCCATTCGCGGTATCCAAAGTAGCTTTAAAACCACCAGAACGACACTACCCTGGGCAAGATGGCGCTGTGTCTATTCTAAATAAGTTCCGAAACAACATCAATCGTGAAAGGTCGTGAGGGTAATCGATCCCTGCCCTCATATAGAACTGTCAAAAGATATTAGTTTGGCGCCGTGAGGAAATGTCAACAACGAGATAGGGAATACCCACATCTAGAAGAGAAAGAAAAATGGACCCATAGGAAACTCTGCCTCTTCTGATGGTGAACAGCTAGCACGGTCTCTCACACACATGTTGATGTATGTTCTCACTCCTCACTCAATCGCGATAAAGACGCCGCAATCCGATATCGATCTTCTTCCTATTGATTTTGTAAACTTTCTGACCTGACTAAATGAAAGTTTTTGTTAAAGAGGTTTATCTACAGTTACCACTCGTTAGCGTCGACGAGTTCATTGAGTTCACAATACACGGATACCTCGTGTCGTCGAGTTTATCTAGTAAACAATACAGGGATACCTCGTGTCGTCGAGTATATCGAGTATACAACATACGGATACCTCGTGTCGTCGAGTATATCGAGTATACAACATAGGGATACCTCGTGTCGTCGAGTTTATCGAGTATACAATACAGAGATACCTCGTGTCGTCGAGTATATCGAGTATACAACACAGGGATACCTCGTGTCGTCGAGTATATCGAGTATACAATACAGGGATACCTCGTGTCGTCGAGTATATCGAGTATACAACATACGGATACCTCGTGTCGTCGTGTATATCGAGTATACAACATAGGGATACCTCGTGTCGTCAAGTTTATAGAGTATACAATACAGAGATACCTCTTGTCGTCGAGTTTATTGAGTATACAATACAGGGATACCTCGTGTCGTCGAGTTTATCGAGTATACAATACAGGGATACCTCGTGTCGTCGAATTTATTGAGTATACAACACAGGGATACCTCGTGTCGTCGAGTTTATCGAGTTTATTGGGTATACAACACAGGGATACCTCGTGTCGTCAAGTTTATAGAGTATACAATACAGAGATACCTCTTGTCGTCGAGTTTATTGAGTATACAATACAGGGATACCTCGTGTCGTCGAGTTTATCGAGTATACAATACAGGGATACCTCGTGTCGTCGAGTTTATTGAGTATACAACACAGGGATACCTCGTGTCGTCGAGTTTATCGAGTTTATTGGGTATACAACACAGGGATACCTCGTGTCGTCGAGTTTATCGAGTATACAATACAGAGATACCTCTTGTCGCCGAGTTTATTGAGTATACAACACAGGGATACCTCGTGTCGTCGAGTTTATTGAGTATACAATACAGAGATACCTCGTGTTGTTGAGTTCATTGAGTATACAATACAGAGATACCTCTTGTCGAGTTTATCGAGTATACAATACAGAGATACCTCTTGTCGTCGAGTTTATCGAGTATACAACACAGAGATACCTCGTGTCGTCGAGTATATCGAGTATACAACATAGGGATACCTCGTGTCGTCGAGTATATCGAGTATACAACATAGGGATACCTCGTGTCGTCGAGTATATCGAGTATACAACATAGGGATACCTCGTGTCGTCGAGTATATCGAGTACACAACATAGGGATACCTCGTGTCGTCGAGTATATCGAGTATACAACATAGGGATACCCCGTGTCGTCGAGTATATCGAGTATACAACATAGGGATACCTCGTGTCGTCGAGTATATTGAGTTCACAATACATAGATACCTCGTGTCATCGAGTATACAACACAGGGATACCTCGTACCGTCGAATTTATCGAGTATACAGTAAACGGATACCTCGTGTCGTCGAGTTTACTGAGTATACAATACAGGGATACCTCGTGTCGTCACGCGTTTATCGAGTATACGATACACGGTTCCCTCGTGTCGTCAAATAGCAAAAATGGTTGTTTTTCAAGTTCTGTGAGTAGCATACAACAAATAGAACTAAACCGTTGGGGATGTAGGCAGAGTTTGTATATTGTATCATGTGAGCCATATTTCAGCTATATGGCGGCGGTCTGTAAATAATCGAGTCTGGACCAGACAATCCAGTGATTAACAGCATGAGCATCGATCCGCGCAATTGGGAACCGATGACATGTGTCAGCGAGTTGGTCTTTCAGGGGCGGCGGGGTAACCTAGTGGTTAAAGCGTCGGCTCGTCACACTGAAGACCCGGGTTCGATTCCCCACATGGGTACAATGTCGACCTTCCTGTATGTCGAGCAGCTCCACCCTTTGTCGTTGACATGTTGCTGCTTTTGAGGTACATACATGTACGACTCCTGCCCAGAAGTTGTTTGATCAGGTAAAAACAAAGATATAATGACAGACATGTACGAGGCATTTCCAAATTCAACACATCAGAGATAAAAGTTATGCCCAATACAGCTAGGAGCTTCCCCATTTTGTACCATAAGTTCCTGTCTTCTGATGAGCTTGCGTTTACGAGAAATGGGCTTCACACATTGTACCCATTGGTCCAGTATTCAGCGTGACGAGCGAACGCTTTAACCACTAGGCTACCCCACCGCCCACTGATTTGTATTGATTCATAAACCCATGCTTGAGTGTCATTTTAGGAGTTGGAAAGTGCAATAATGACAAAAGTCATTGATAACAACTTCTTTAATTTAGTGAGTATAGTTCGGTATCAAAGAAAATATGTCTATGTTGTTCCCTGCTATGATAATTCTAAAACTATTGGTAAATTGGCTCTAAACCAAACTCATAAATGCCAGTTTAAGTAGTTGTAATCGCGGTTTAATTGATGAACAAATAAATTTGAATAGGCATATCACAGAGTGTTTGAAGTCATGTATTCTGATATGACATCAACAGTTTTGCAACATCTCCATCACTGACACAGAAACCGTTGCACTGAAATGAATAGTGACGTAGCAAATTCGTCTCCATGTCATAGATTAACGGTAATGGTTTGTTAATACAATAAACGTTTAATGGCTTTAAATCAGTCGACTACAGATTTCATAAATATGCCACTCCACCACGGATGTGATGCTGACAAACCTAGAAACATAATCAAGAATTCTTATCCAGAGTTTCCTGGTACGCCTAAGGGAGGCAACGCTTCATAACATAACTTTTCTTCTGTCTGCTGTCGTTCACGTAAATGACTTGATACTATAAGAAAACACTTCCCAATCTCTATAAGACCTGTCAGTAAACCAGGTGTTTGTCACGTGACTGGCATTGATCGAATACAACTACATTGTAACAAAAACGTCTTCTTGTAAAATGATGCTCATATAATTTGACGACCACTATGACATTAACGTTGTATCAAACATTCCTATATATGATGTTTCTTTCGTGTATGGAACAAAGGATTGTCAAGAAACAGAATCATCTAAAACTCCTTGTTGAATCAAACTTGCTCTTTGTTATATATGTATGCAACAATGTTTAATTCTCTGATTGTTGGGGCAAATATGTATATTTCTGTTTTACCAGTGACCAACAGCAGTATGGGGATGGCATTCTTCGTAATTCAATTTAGACACAACTGTGCTAATTACAAGATACTGAATAATGTATTGATATTATTGACGCTGCCGGTAACACCTGGTTGATAAGCGTATCGCATTTACCATCAGGTTATATATATTTTATATTCCGTGATGATAACACCCCGTGCCGAAATATATCTACAACTTATGATATATATGAACAAAATGACACCTGATGTTACGAAGAGAACAATATGAAAATGTCATAGAAGTATGCATGAATGAACAGATATAGAAATTCATAAAGCGTTATGCGGTAAACAGGTATTGACAACCAACGGCTGTTCGTCATGAGTCATAACAGTTTGTCTGAAATATGTTGTTGAAGGTAATCATGCACCTGACCACCCTCCTGACCCTTGGGTTTAATGAAAGGACAAGGACAAGGATAAGATTTCGAATCTCAGTCGCTGGTACAAAATAGGCTCCTTACATTACAAACAATAATGCTAATTTAGCAAGTG